GGTTTAGGCCCCCCGTGAACGCTTTCCAAACGAGGGGTGATAGGGTTCGGGGCCCTCAACCCCTGAACCCTTAACCCTCGTGGTTTGGGGCTCTGGGGCACTAGGGGTTCGGGATGTAGCGCTCCATGGAACCGTACTTCAAGGGCCACAAGCATAGGTCCCTTGTCTGTATTGCGGGAGGTGAGGCTGCTTACCAACTTATAGATTGCAGTGGCCAGCTTTGGAAGGGGCAGGAAGACTTCTAGCGGCGGTTTTCTTGTCAGAGGGATGAATACTAAACAGGAGCTTAATCTGAGAGCATTGGACCGTATTATTGCATTGACGGCCATGACTCCCCCCATACACGTCGCTTTCTTGCATCGAGATCATTGACAGGGCGAGGCACTGATGTCTCAGAAAGTTTCCTGCAGCAAGGGCTCGATTGATTCATGACCTTCTTCGGAGGCCAACATCAAGGCCGTCTTACCATTCTTGTCCATCAAGCTCGTATTGGCACTTCGGCTTAAAAGCAGCCGTACGACGTTCCTCTCGCCCTGTTGCGCGGCCTCCATAAGAGCGGTGGTGCCCTCATTGTCAGCCCAGTCCATGGTGCAGCCGCTGTCTAAGAGAGCCTCCACGATCTCGAGATGGCCCTCGAAAGCCTGAGCTCTGGTTCGGGAGCCTAAGTTACCACAATAAGCTTAGAAGCATACTAGTTCCACGCAAATCCCATGGCAACTTCAATGGCACTTTCGGGAAGTAAGAAATCCGAATATAGATCCGGATACTAGGATCCTTGCTATGAGCATGTCCCGAAGGAGGGACCCTCAGTTCCAAGAAACTGCCCAACTTTAGGCCCGAAGCAAAACCCCCAAACGTGCTCCTCGGAGATCTCGACATACAAAAAACACTACACCGAAAGCTCTAATCCGCAACATAAAGGATAAGAAGGAGCCACGAGCCTCCGAGCTAAAGCAAGGGTTTAGGGTTTAGGGGTGAGGCCTTCAGTAAGAAAGAACTGAGTTAAGATGCGTAGTAAGAAATTTCTTACCATCGATAGCTTAAGGTCCTTCATAAGAACCATAATTCAATTAATTACGCCTCTCAGTAACAGCCAAGCAGCCGCCATCATCAGTGCAGTGGATCCTGCCTCGGTAACTCGGTTTTGGTCTGCGCCTGAGTGGAGAAGCAAGTGCACCGTTCCAAGGTGACCATTCCTGGGCATTTTGGAGTTTAGGGTTTGGGGTCTGTAGGGTTTAGAGTTTATGGCTTCAAAAGCCAACAGAGGGGGGCCTTCATAACTAGAACTGGTCGGGTATATTATCCCACAAGCAACACAAGGCTACAAGGGGATATTGCACTACTTGTACTTCTATAGGGGCGAATTATGTGGGGATACTTTTACAAGCTTTTCCGAATCTTATATTATCCACCACAGTAGTCGTAGAGAAATGTACAACATCGACCCAGATTCAGCGAAGCCTTCATGAGACCTGTCGTACCCCGCCTGGTAGCTGCATCCGGATCAGCACGGGCCTGGAGTAGCAAGCGCACCACATCCGCCTTCCCCTCGTGGGAGGCTAGGTACAGTGCTGTGCCGCCTTCACTATCCACTACGTCCGGCTCTACCGAAGCCTCAAGCAGCAGCTTTATGACCTCGACGTGCCCTTGGAAAGCTGCGAGCATCAGAGGCGTGGCGCCGGCGATATCCACCAAGTTTTTGTTGGCCCCGCTCTCCACCAGCACGCGTGCAGCTCCCCCCTGACCATAGCGAGCCGCCAGCATTAAGGAGTTTGTTTTGGTGTTGTCTGCTGCATCCTTGTCAAGGCCGAGTTCCAGCAGATAGCGGACCACATCAGCACCCCCCTTCTGGGCTGCAAGATTCAAGCAAGTCTCACCACCCATCGATCCTTACTTGTTGAGTTATTTTTGTAGAATGGAAGTAAGCTCCGGTCTTCCAGTAAAGCGAAACCATCAGGCACCGAGCGTCGATGGTGAAGTTGGGCACCAGCTTCAACCAGGAAACGCAAAACATCCAGCCTGCCATTGTAAGCTGCCAGCATCAAAGCTGTGTTGCCAGAAGCATCTTCAATTAGCTCCATGCTGGCACCCGCCTTGCAGAGCACCCGAACGATTTCAAGGTGGCCCAACCCGGATGCCATCATAAGAGGTCGAACGCCCTGTCTGCTTGGCACATCCGGGTCTGCATGGGCCTCCAGCAGCAGCCGAACAACGTGGGTATGCCCCTTCGTGGACGCCTGGCACAAGGCAGTGTAGCCCCTGCCGTTTTTCACGTCCGGATCATAGGGCGCTGAAAGCAGAGATTCAACCTGGCAATGCTGAGACTACTTGGATTTTCATGGGTAGTTACAAGCGGAGTTATAAGTCCCCTAATAGGGGCATTAAGTATAGTTACCTTACTTATACCGCGACTTATAACTACCACTGAACCTCCAAGTAGGCCCCGGGATGCCTCTAGAGCGTTTGAGGAGTCGAGCAAAGTGATGAAACACCGATCACCGGCCGAAAGTTTAGGTTTTTTAGGGTTTAGGGTTTAGGGTTTAGGGTTTAGAGTTTAGGGTTTAGGTTTTAGGGTTTAGGGTTTAGGGTGTCTGTGCTCCGTCGAACTTCACTTAGCATATCGACGGGAGCTCACCGGACATGCCTCGACAGCTACTATAGGGGCCCAAAGAATTACCTGTACTATTTTGGGGGCTCCTTACTATGATTCTAGTATAAGATATCCCAAAACCCTTTCTAATGATTCAGGCGCCTATATTACAGCTCCTACCTTCTCTGCGTCTCCGTCCATGGCGGCCGTGACGAACTCCTCATTTTGCTTCGTGTCAGAGTCAGCGAACGTAAGCAGCACCAATTCGAGCTCCGTGGCAGCAACCAGCTTAAAGGCATCCTCCAAGGCTGTTCCTTCTCCTCGTGCAAAGGCAGGAGAAGCTGTTGCGGACGCATCACATCTACTCCATGTGTCTTCCTCAAAGAGACCCCTTGTAGTAACCCTTACAATGCTGCCCACATTAGGTGCGGCCCCAATACAGTAAGAGTCTATAATAGGGCTACTATTCAGATCCTACTATATCTGTATTATGAATATTATTCAACTATTACTGAGTGGGGACCGTACCTAATGCCCACAGTACCTTGAAAGCTGGATCATCAGAGCCCAAGCTAAGCCCAGGCCAAAAGGTGCAATAAAATATAAAGAACATCCCGAAGACGCCACTCTGTAATACGGTTGATGATATAAATCCTGCATTACCTTAAGGGCCCTAAACTATGGGAACTATGGTATATTCCTTATTATGGGTAATGCAGGATTTCTATCATCAACCGTAGTGACTATAAGGATCATATTAGGACCCCATTATATTCCTATTATACCACTATTACAGGGTGGGGGCCCCTTCTAAAACATCCCCAAGCCACCACCCACTTCTGTAGAAGCCACCAGGATGGTCTGCAGCTATTCCTTCATTCGGGCGTCTGGTAGAAGGAGGGTATGATTCAATATAGTGGCCTGAAGATCTTCAAGAGGGTGTCGGGATGTGTTATATAGCATAATATGTCCCGAAACCCTCCTTTAATATTCAAGCTCCTACATTAGTCCGCTGGGTTCTGCCAGGATGCCACGGGAAAGGAGCCTCTGCCGGAAACGTGGGGGCAATCCATGGAGCCGACTGAGATACTGCTTTAGGGATCTCACATCGGGCACCTCCTGGCTGCAGCGCTTTCAGGGTTTGGGCTTTCGAGTCGCGGTTCGGGCCGAGGGTTTAGGGATTAAGGTATATATGGTCACGCGCTCCTCAGCCCCCCCCCCCTCCCCCCCAAAGTAGTGTCTAGCGCACCTGGCTCAAGCTGGTTGGTCGAATTGTCGGCCGGGCGCAGTACAGCGTATTGACTCTAGGGCGTTTTGGGCTGGAGCTTGGAGTCTTGAGTCTCCGGTCCGAGCTGTCAAGGATTTGGGGGTTGGATTGGAGTTTTGGGATAACGGATATCGGAATTAAGGTGTTCGCTTCTTTTTGTAGCTTCCCTTGCTGCGGAACTCGTTGCGGACATGCACACCTGCATTTACCGAACATCGGAAACCGCACTGTTTGTGTGCTGTCTCTCCACAACTGTCGCACGAACCGCAAGCCAACAAGAATCTCGAGCCCCACGCGCGCTCCACAACAATCAATCAATAAAACAACCATGAGGACGGTATTTGTGACACTTCCTGACATCCAGGACCAAGGAGAACAAACACAAGCAAAGCAAAGATTAACAAAACACATCCCTCAAAGTTCGTCCGCGATACAAAAACTGCTGAACAAAAACTGGGTTCTACAAATTCCTGCAGCGAGCCCTACAAAACAAACGACGCCCCCTTCGCGGCTGCTAATGCTCCAGCTTCCCTGTTGCGGTGTTTGTGGTCGTCGTCATCATCTGGACACTAGTCGCTTAATCATGGTTGTGCCTTCTGGGCTAAACAATACTTAAAGGGTCATGGGACGTAACTAAGGCAATGTACAAGTAGCTATACCTGAGCTTTTCGTACTTTTTCCCCGGAACAAGGAATCCTCCAGCGGGAGTCGCATCACATCGCCTGACAGCAGCCTTACTGACAGCATCCTTTGGCCATCGGACAAGCCACGGCGGTGCGCTCCTATGCTCAACCTTGAGAAGCCGGGCATGCACAACTCTCAGCTGCGAGGGCTACATTCCGAGACTTTGTGCGGGCTATCTGACTCCATCAATTTCTGGCACCCAGACTGGGTCCACGGTTTCATCTAGCTGCAAGGTGACCTGGGCACCAGAAGTAAACAAAGCCCCGCGAACGCTACACCTGAAACTCACCAGCCTGCCACCAGTCCTTCCAGTAAGCCCCTAGACGCTCTACTGCTACTTGGAGAATCGGGCAAATTGAAATTAGAGGCTAAGAAGTGCCGAAACTGCACATATACTTGATTACCAACTACAGATAGGTTACTTAGAACCCACTTGCTGAGTCCCTATAACATAACAAGATATGATACAATCTGAAATGATACAATATAGTTATAATGAAACATATTACATTTGTATTATACAGCCCTGAATCTTTTAGCTTGCCTTTGGTTAGTAGGGAATGGAAGAATGGTAGTAATAGCAGTTATAATTGTACCACATTCCTCCATTCCCGACTAACCAAAGGTAAGTAAGTAGGCCCCAAAACCTAAAAAACCTAAAACCCTAAAGCCCTAAAGCCCTAAAACCCTAAAGCCCTAAAACCCTAAAACCCTGAAGCCCTAAAACCCTGAAAGGCAAAGCACAAGCAGGACCAGAGAGTCGCCTGAACGCCCAGCTCATTCTCAAAGGCACGGAGAGGAGAATCCTGGATCAGACGACTTAGCCTTTAGGGTTTTGGGTTTTGGCTTAGGGTTTATGGTGGCCTTAAGGGTTTTGAGATTTGGGTTAGGGTTTAAGGTTTAGGTTTAGGATTTGGGGAAAGCTTCCGTTGGACAGCTTTCGGGCTTTCTACTTTCAACTTTGGGTGTCCTGTCCTCGGTGCCGTTCAAGTTCAGGGCCCAGGGAATATACATTTGGCCCGCCAGAAAACGCTTAAGCCCCGATACGTCCCCTCAGAGAACACAGTTAGGAGCTTTCTTGAAGCCTCGACGGAACCCGTGGAGGACGGACTGGGGGGCCGTGACAGTTAGCAACGGAGGTTTAGGGGTTTAGGGTTTAGGGTTTAGGGGTTTAAGGTTTAGGGGTTTAGGGGTGTAGGGTTTAGGGTTAGTCTTGTTGCTGTTGTTCTTCTTGTCCGTATAACCACTCTTCTCATTCCAGTCACTCATGGCTTTCCGAATACTCTCTTTTCATGATGGCGATGCTGTCATTGTCGGTGTCGGCTGTCAGCATTGTATTATAGCTCTGACTCTTGCCAGCATTGCAGGTTTTTGCAGTCTGGACTGCGAGGTGCAACATCTCCGAGAGTAGTACCATACTAACGCTTGGACGTTGGAGTTGAATCCTTTATTTCGGGCTGCAACTAGCACAAAGGCTGCTGACTTGCAGTGGCAAGACGGATATGCATCACCTGCCTGACCTTCTGCACCCAATTTAGGGTTCAAGGTCTTGGGTCTAGAGGGTAGGATAGCGATACTAGTTCACAAACAGAGAGGACCCAAATATAGGAAATAAAACATGATCCTAGATACAAGGATCCCTCAACAAAGATACCGACTTGTCTGTGTGAGCCAAAGCGTCGGTGTACGCGGCCCAATCACCCCACGCACTGCCCGTGAGACCGTCCTTGAGCAAGCAAAGAAAGATCCAGCATTGAAGTCTCAGTTTGTTACTTCTTTTGGGGTTTACAGCGAAACTCGGCCCCTATACACACCCTCACTGAAACCCTGGTAGCAACCCTTTCGTTTAGGTACCCTTGTACAACTAACTACTATGTAGAGCTCAGGGTTCAGGCCCGGGTTTATACTACATTATACTGTGTTATACTAGAATATGGCATCATAGACTACAATAGACTAAAGCATGATACCATATACTACTATGGTATACTGTAGTTGAGTTCAAAGGAAGGCATGACTCGTCCCCTTGAAGTCCGGAGGTTCGATCGAAGCTGTTTGGCTTCGAAGAGATTTCGAAGACCCATGTCACTGATCTGGCAGAGGCCAATCATAAGGATCCTAATAACAATAGTAGTACCAATGCTGGTAATACTAGTACTAGTATATAGTAGCAATAATACTGAACATAGTAGTACTAGTACTGATCGTAGGAATAAAAATAGCAATGATACTAAACATAACAATATTAATACTGGTAACCAAAGGAATAAAACTAGCAATAACATATACTAAGCATAAGAAAACTAATACTGATAATCATAGGAATAATCGCAACATCATAGGGGTTCAGGTCAGCGGTTAAGGTAAAGCAGATCGGATCGGAGGCTCAGGGGAAAGCCGTAACGACCTGGCACTAGGACAGGGCTTGGGCTTGTAGACTACCACCGCAAAGATATGTATATATATATATATATATATTGATTTATTTATATATATATATATATATGGTGTGTATATATATATATATATATACATGTATATAACAGGGCCCAGAGAACACCAGGGCGCTAAACCGTAAACGACCGCAAGCTCTCGCGGTTTGTGGTGTCGGGTTTTGCTAAGAGCGGCTGGCCGAGGAAATGTCACGAAGCTTTAGAGGCGAGTCGGTTTTGGAGTTTAGGGTTTGGGATTTAGGGTTTAGGGATGTTTAGGGTTTCAGGGTTGAAAGGTTTAAGGGTTCAGGGATGTAAGGATTTCGTGTTTAGGGTTTGGGGTTTAAGGCTTCGGGTTTTGTGCTCCGATGGCCGACGGCGCAGGCTCAGACCTTGAAAGAATGAACATGGGTGGTTGTCGAAATTAGGGTCCCTTTTTGGGTACCTTAAATACTAAGTGCCGTATTATAGTAAGGACCCAAACGGGGCCCTAATATTGACAACTACCCACATGGATGCGCGAGGTCGCGAACAGCAACCTAGACCCACTAAGTCTCTGGAAGAAGCTTTCTAAGCCCTTTCGAAACCTTTTGCGGGAAAGCTCCTGAAACAACCGGGGAGTTGCGAACTTAAAGGATTTAGGGTTTAGGGCCTGAGGCGTTTCGGGCTTTCGGGATTCGGGGCTTCGGAGGTTCTAGGGCTTAGGGCTGAAGGGGTCCACTTTTAGCAAGGCCAAGTCACCTGGAAGAACATGCCGATGATGGCCTCAGAGGATCCCTCTACTCCCTCTACCGTAGATCCGAGGACTGGGGGCTATTAATAACTAAAAGAGGGCATAGGTGCCTGGGACAATAGTTCAACAAGTAGATAGGGTTTGGGGGTAAGATCAACAGAAACTCAAAGGTAAAAGGGTGTGCTATTACTACTTATTCCGACACACTTGCATTAAACTCTGAGAAACGGCATACCCTTATGAGACCGAGTGAACACACTGCAAGAGAGGGACTCTTGTCTGAGAAGCACGTCTGTCAGAGAAGGGTGTCTGTCAATCCCCGAAACCGTAAACCCCCAACCCAAGCCCTCAACCCTAAACCCTGAACCCCTAAACCCTCAGCCCTCAACCCTATGATATCCCTTGATGAACCCGGGTTCGGGCCTTGGGATCTAGTTTCCCAAGTGTCCCCTTGTTCATGGGAGCCTAGTTGTAGGATCATGGGCCTTAGTGTTTAGGGTTTAGCTTAGGGTTTATGGTTTAGGGTTCAGTTCATGCTTGGAGGGGCAGGGGACTTAGAAAGTCGTTTATAAGTAGGGTTATAATTGGGGTAACTCCATTTAGGGCACTTATAACTCTACTTAAATCCTACTTACCAAGTCCCCTGCCCCTCCAAGTGGGCCTTAGTAAGTAAGGTTCTAAGGTCGTTCATGCAATTATAAGTGTAGTTACCTTATATATATATATATATATATATGTTGAAATCACCGTAGAATGCTTATCATTTGCAGGGTTTAGAGGGGCAAGGTCTGGGCATAACACTGGGCAGGGTTGAAGTGAAGGGCTTGGATGTCCATATTGACATTATGAAAAATGCTTTTCTGTTGCAGGACTTGGAGGGGCAGGGTCTGGGCATTACACTCGGCACGGCCGATGGCTCGTGGGCGTATCTACGGTGGAGATACCTGTGTCAGTCAGAAGCTAGAACATTCAAACCATTGAGCTCCTCGGAACATCCTCGAACCTCTTCAGAACCTTTCCGGAACCTCCTCGGAACCTCCTCGGAACCTCCCCGGTACCTCCCCGGAACCTCCTCGGAACCTCCTCGGAACCTCCCCGGAACCTCCCGAAACCTCCCGGAACCTGCCGTGCCGGAACCTCCTCGGAACCCCGGAACCTCCTCGGAACCTCCCCGGAACCTCCCCAGAACCTGCTCGGAACCTCCTCGGAACCTCCTCGGAACCTCCTCGGAACCTCCTCGGAACCTCGAACCATGCACGGCCTTTTGCATTCCTTTTCTTAAGGGTTAGATAACAGTGAGGTTCCGATGAGGTTTCGAGGAGGTTCCGAGGATGTTCCGGAAAGGTTCTGACGAGGTTCGAGGATGTTCTGAGGAGGTTCCGCGAGGTTTGGGGCAGGTTCTGAGGAGGTTCCGAGTGCTCAGTGATTTGAATATTCTAGCTTCCACGGACACAGATATCCCCACCGTAGATACGTCCACGAGCCATCGGCTGCAGACCATGATCTCAACCAATAACTTCGCAGAATTTTCCCCTCATTTTACAACAGTCTTACTTCGACCTTGCCTTAATAATGAAGCAATCTTGCTCCCACCTTTCCCTGATTTTTACCTCACCACTGACCTGATCCTCTGTCGTGGGGAGTTAAGCATTCCACGATCGAATCAATATATATAACCCAAATGACTAAGTCCCATGATCCCTGAAGAGGGAGGGCGCCAGACTGGGGAAGCCCGTGAGCTTCGAACCCTCAGCCCTGAAGCCTCAAATTGCAGAGGCTTCCACTTTCTGTACCATCAGATGACTACTTGGAGGATCATGGGACTAAGTAAGTAAGGTTATAAGTACCTTAATTGGGGTTATAAGCAGTTATAAGTATAGTTACTCTAACTATAACTCGACTTACTAAGTCCCATGATCCTTTATGTACCCTTAATCCTAAACCCTTTAGGGTTTCGGGTTTGGGGTTTAAACCCTTTAGGGTTTCGGGGTTGGGGTTTAGGGTAACCCTTCGCCGAGGGGCCATCATTGCCAGCCGTCCGTTGGCAATCTCAGAATTCAGCTTGCGATTGCGGCCTGACGGCAGGAAGTCATCCTAAGATCCACCCTCAACCCATCCCAAGCCTTTTAACAAATCCTAAGTCCGGAAATCCAAAGACCGTAAAGACCCGAAATCTTAAACCGTGGGGAGCGTGGCGCTTCGGATGCGGCGCAGGCTTCTGGCTCTCGGATTCGTCTTTCTAGCTTATCGGACCGGAATTGGAGTTTCGGGTCTTGCGGGCGCCAGGAGTTAGGTTTAGGGTTCCAGGTTCAGGTTTAGGTCTAAAGGACGAGGACCGAAAAGCCTAATTTTTCGACATATTAAAAAACTTCAGCACAAAACTGGGATCCAGGATCCAACACACCTGTGCTGACCTGATACCCACAACCCTGAACTCCCCAAATCCACTCTCAAAGCCAATCTGAGGATCCGGCACCTAAAAAAGTCTGCAGACTCAAGACCCCATCGCCGAATGCTGTAGGGCTTCTAATCGCAAGATATCGCAAGGGTGACGACCCCGACACCTGCCGCTGTCTCGGGCTTCGGACCTAAGCGGGCCATCCTAAAGTCTCCGAAACCCCTCTCAGGGATCCCTCATATGTTAGAGTCTCTGGGATAAGCGTGCAAGGTCGCCAGGGAAGAAGCCGCAGGAAAATGGGGGCTCCCTATGAGAAGGCTGCCTTCACCAGGAGCCATGGTGCTGCCGTTCGGCACGCCGAGAACACCTGCGTTCTTGTAGTCCTTGGAGGAGGAAATCTGAATAGGGGGCTGGAGACCCAGGCTGGGTTTCTGGGGCATGGATGCTACAAAAAAAGACCAACCCTTTTTTTCATTCTTGTCAGTGCTACTACGTGTCTTGACCTTGACTTGAACACTCGTCGTCTTAATCACCCAGCCTCCGCGGAACCCCAATCCTAAAATACCTACACCCTCCTTCCGAAAACCCTCGCAGACGTCCCAAACCTAACATCCCGCCTCCTACATCTGATCTCCGGACAAGGACTTTAAAAAAATAATATTAATATTAATATTAATATTAATATTTTTATTAATATTAATACTAATATTAATATTAGTATTAGTAGTAATATTAATATAAAAATTAAAAAGTAACATCTGAACCCTGGACTCCAAAACTTACGGCCTGAACCCTAGACCCTAAACCCTGAACGCTAGAGCTTAAACCCTAAGCACTGAACCCTAAAGGCCGTGAAAACTTGGCTGTCGGAAGGGGTCACCAAATCTCTATGAAAACTCGCTGAATACCGCTGAAGAGCCCGTAAAATACACAACCCTGCCAACAGCCTGAAAAAAACCCCAAAAAAAATAAATATTACCGAGCAAAACCCAAAACATAAGAGATGATAGCAATAACTAAACAAATACAAGAGCTGAGGGGCCCCAGGCTGGCGGGTGGGGTCGAAGGTGTAGAGGCCCTTCTCCACGAGGCCCAGGAAGAGGAAGATCTGGGTCCAGCCGGCCCCCGGAACCTCCAAAAAGGGAGCTTCTGTGGAGGGTTGAGGGTTGAGGGTTTAGGGTTGAGGGTTGAGGGTGGAGGGGTTTAGGGGTTTGGGGTTTGGGTTTAGGGTTTTAGGGTTTAAGGTTTAGGGCGATGGTATCTACAGCTATACTAAGACAGGATAGCAGCTAGCAGCATCAAAACCATCAGCATCATCACTATCATCGCAATCAGCGGAGGTTTTGAGCTGAGTGGTTCAGGGGGTTTGGTCTGAAACAGCTTGGCCGCTTGCGCCGGTTTTGATGGGAGGCCAAAAGGGGGGTTCAGATTCTTGAGGTAGGGATTCCTTAGTATGAACCCTAACCCGCCATAGGCTAAAACCCCTTTTGGCCTCCTATGAGGTTTCGTTGGCTTTCGAGTAGCTGGGATGAATGGAGACGAAGGGCTGCAAAAGACGAGCTTCAGGGCGCAGGGTCTACCTGTAACCCGAAAAGACCTACCTTTTCAGCGTTCCTTATTATGGTTTCTATATAAAGGTCCTTAAAAGGTAGGTCTTTTCGGCTACAGGTATGTCTTCTAGCAGAACTTCATTGTGGCTCCCAAACCAAACCACCCTGAACCCTAAGCCCTCTTGGTGAGTCTTCTTGGTATGGCTGATACAGCAACTTTCTCGGAGACTCCAATACCCTTTACTCAAGGAATGAGTCTTCAATCACGTTGAGGGTCAGTCGACAGGTTAAGGTTAGAAGGTGCCCCCACCCTGTAATAGTGGTATAATAGGAATATCGTAGGGCCCTAATATAATCCTTATAGTCACTATTACAGGGTGGCGGCAGCTTCTAAGGTTAAGGTATATTCCCTAGAACTAACTAACCCTACAAAGCCCTGGCAAACAAAACCCCATAGACACCCCACAGACAACCCTGTGGTGGGCAACTTTAGAATGCCTTTTAGCCAGTGGAAGTTTCAGGAACCCTAATACAGTACCCTAAAAAATAGGATTCTTACTATAAGAACCCCAAATAAGATACCCCTAATTTTCGGAAACTCCCTATTCGACCACATCTGCCAGATGCTCGGCGAGACCTTGCTCAGCGCCGCCAGGCCGTTCGGGATGTCTGTGAACTTGAGCCCCGCGGAGGGTGCGCAGTATCCTGCGGCTTCACTTGGAGCTTCATGGGTAGTTGTAAGTGTAGTTATAAGTCCTCTAATATGGGCTATACATATAGTTACCTTACTTATAACCCACTTATAACTACTCCTGAACCTCCTAGTCGGCGTTTATAAGGGCACAGGCTTTCGGAAGTGCTTCAAGAGCCGTAGAACCTGTAACTTAAGCCCTAAAGCCCCAAACCCCTGCCGATATACAGTATCCGGGGCCAGGGTTCAACGTGTGGGTTAGGGGTTACCAACTCAAGGATCGCGGCTTAAGGCTAAGGTTCAAGGGCTGAGGATTCAAGGTGTAGGATTCAAAACTGAAGGGTTCAAACTTCATTTTCCGGGCTGAGGGGTTAGGGTTCACGCTTTAGGGTCCCGGTTGTAGGATGTAAGCTTTAGGCGGAGCAGGCTAACTAAATGTCCGAGACCTGAAGCCTCACTCATACCCGGAACCCTAAACCCTAAACCCTAAACCCAGAAGAATAATGTCAGTACATAATCAGGATTCCATATTAGGTTCATTGGGCTTCTGCGGCCTAAGGGGCTTGCATGGCCACAAAACCCCTAAAGCGCCGAAACACCGCAATAACATTTAGGGTTTAGGGTTTAGGATTTAGACTTTAGGGTTTAGGGTTTAGGGGTTTAGGGTTTAGGGTTTAGGGGTTTAGGGTTTAGGGTTTAGGGTTTAGCGGTAAAGCACTAAAACTGCAAATGCCTCTCGTTGCAAACCATGCCAGAGACAATGATCCGTTCTAAAACCGTAGAACGACCCTTTGTAGGCAACCTGATAAGAACACTCAAACTATACACAATATCCCTTATAGAAACCTGAAACGAATCTGTATAGGAAACCTTGAAAGGACTACACTCACAACTGGGCTGTAGTTTTTCTGCCCTGAAAGTTTTTTTGAGCAGCTACCTCTGTAACTATAGGGGCCATAAGGGAAACGAAGTCCGCCCGGGACCCTAAACCCTCAAAACCTAAACTTCAAGCTCTAAGCCCTGAAACCCTAAAATCCTAAATTTCAAACTCTAAGCCCTAAAACCCTAAATTTCAAGCTCTAAGCCCTGAAACCCTAAAACCCTAAATTTCAAACTCTAAGCCCTGAAACCCTAAAACCCCAAGCCCTAAACCCGTAAACCGCTCACTAGGCAAAATTCCCTGAAGCCTCCAAAACCCCTTAATTAAGGAATTTACCTTAAATCATAGTAGGGCTCCTATTATAATTTAAAGTATATTCCTTAATTAAGGGGTTTGGGAGTCTCTGGGTTCCCTGAAGAGACCAGGCCTGGGAAGCGGAAGTACTCAGGAACAATGTAGCCTCACATAGGGTTTAGGGTTTAGGGTTTAGGGTTTAGGGGTTTAGGGGTTTAGGGGTTTAGGGTTTAGGGTTTAGGGTTTAGGGTTTAGCAGCAAGTTCAAGGGTCGCGACTTTGGGGGGTTTGTTTAGGGGCTTAAGGTTTAGGGCTTGGAGCTTTAGTCCGTTTCTTTAGGATTTTTAACGTTTCAGGGGTTGCAGGCGCCTGGAGTTTGTTTTGAGAGTTAAACGAAGGCATGATGGGGCTAGTAGAGGGCTTACTAAGCATGGAATGGGGTGCATAGGGAGCTAGAGGGCGCGGCCAGGCTTGAGCAAGGTTCCTAAGTCTTGAAAACTGGTTCAGAATGAAATTCAGGTCTGGGCTAAAAGGGTGTGTAGGGTTTCAGCACTTCGGGCAGCATGGTTAGCTCAAAAGATGGGCTAGAAGCAGCTTCAAGTGCAGCTAGTCTGTTTCTTATCCTACCTACCGAGTCCCCTGATCCTTCAAGCAAAGACCCCTAAACCCGAAATCCCTCTGGGGAATGTACTACAAATCATGCTAGCCTATACGAAGCAAGTGCTCGGAGGTGCAAGTTCAAAACCCTAAACTCTCTTCCTCGCCCAAAACCCCTAAACCCTAAACCCTAAACCCTAAAGCCTAAAGCCCACAAAGAAGGGCGCAAGGTCCCGCGACCTTCCCGAAACACCGATTTGCGGTTCATGCAGGGTCTCGGGCCTTTGGAGCCTGCACCCTACTTAAAGGATCATGGGACTTAGTAACTAGGGTTATAATGAGGGTAACCATACTTATAGCTACTTATGAGTCCAACTAAGGTACTTATAACCTTACTTACTAAGTCCCATGATCCTCCAAGTATCCCAACTTTGAGCCTGCTTGTAGCAGTAAGTCGTGGGCACAAACATGCTGTTTTTTGTTCGCGATAAAGTACAAATATTCGTAGCAATATCGGCGGCACTCGTCCTCGATGCTCTCGGTAAGCCGGCATCAACATCAATGCGAGCTGGAATAGTCGCGTCTCGTGCGATCTTGGTTGCGATTCCTGCGCCGCACGCCAAGAAACAAGGACAAAAATATTCGAATGGCTGCCCAGCAATTTCGTGCGGCTGGTTTGTGATCATTTCTGTTGTTTCGGACGCTTGGGCTGTTTATTGCGTTCGTTTGTATGTTTTTTGTTCGGGCTTGTCGACTTCGCTGCAGGTGCCCCGCTATTCCTCGTGCTGTGCACAATGGGTTGCAGCGAAGATGGCGCACAACACGACAGTGCAACATCCTGCTGATCCCACTTATCCGGAAAATCGAAAAGACGAATGCAATTGATACTGTTGTTTGTACCCAGAAGCTTAAAATCTACGAATATGCTTGGTTGGGCTGGATTGGCATTCCTAGCCTGACTATATCAACGAAACCAGATCCTAGCAGTAGAACGCTTCAGTTTGATGCAGCCAGCAGCAACACCAACGCCTAGGACACGCTAACAATACCGGAATCGCCTTATTGCTGACGGAACAAATCTACTGCTACGGCTTAAACTTCTCGAAAACTGTACTACTAGCATAGCTGAAATGCTAGCATTGTGAAATTAGAAGCAGAACCCAAATGATTGATATTGCGAATCTGGTACTATCTCAACAACAATCAACAGTTTATGGCCATACGAAAACCAGCTGCATTAAGCGTAGATATTCAATCCAAGTCGCATAGCGGGTATAGCTGGTGCTTTGCTCAGTCGCGAAAATACATGTACCATGGGTATTGCTAACCTTATGTTTGGTGTTAACACTGCTTCCAATATACTACATTTACTGCGAGTTCGTACAAACGACCCAATACTAGAAATCCCGCTACCACTCGCCACACTGCTACCAGTACCAAATATTTCCAAGCCCTACGAGCTTAGCGGGTACCACCAATGCCTGGGTCGTCTCAATACCATACAGTAATTGTTTGATTCTCCCCCAATACAGATATGAATACTGCTAGTTTATTGCTGCTGACATACAACCGAAAACATGTCTACATCAAGAGTGTGCTGCAAGCTTCACCGCCACTGACAGCATTGCGAATATCTGAAGCGCTTCAGATATGATTAATACACAGATTCTGTCGGCAGGCCCATAGTGGCAAGCATCGCCACGCGGCCGTTCTTCAGCTCCTGGACGGCAGCGGCTTTAGGCATCAGGGTTCAAAGGTTTAGCCTTAAAGCTTTAGGGCTCTGGGCCTTTTGATCGAGAGGGTTGTAGATGGTTTTGAGGTTGGCAAACCCTACCATATCCAGCTGAACCCAAATCGCCACAGGCTGCACAACCGAAGCTTGCCCGGCTGTGACGTCTTCGTGGAAGGTTTAGGAATGAGGTTGTCGGGGGCGGGGCTTAGATTACAGAATTTGCGGTGGGGGTTTTGGGCTGCGGGTTGAGGGATGTCACGGGCTGGTGGTGTCGGAAAACCTTAGTACGTTTGGCACATCAACCTAGAAATCAGCTAACACCCCAGACCCAAAGGGATCCTATCATTGATATCAAAAAAATGCTAGCACAAGCCGTGTGTAGTAATGATGAAAAAAGCACCCTATCAATTGAGAACCTCCCGCATCATCGCCAAAAACCTGAGGCCGTAAATAAGCCCCCAAACTTTCGACTCTGACGACACTTGAAGCAAAAAACACCGACAGACGCCACTCTTTTCGACGCAGAACAAAAAAAGATACGAAACCTTTGCACACTTGCACCCTTGAAAACCAAGAAAGATACGTCGATCTCTGGTTCAGTTTAAAAGCCCCAAGCTTTCTTTGAAAATCAACGCCTGCAAACTCCTGACAACCCTCAAAAACCCGTAAAAAGAAGCCAGGGACGCGATGGAAGACCTGAAGACAAACCCGCTCCGTTGCGCGACGGCGCTTGAAAGCCTCCATGTCGCCGTCCTGACCATGGAAAAAATTCATGCGAGGACGCGATTCAAGCTAGCTGCGTGTCTATTTTGCTACAAGCCCAGGGCCCACCACACCTTCTAAGAACCCGTGTATTCTTCAAGGAAAACCAAAATCAACAGAGAGCTTCGGCATCCTTAACAGCTGTTCTATGTTCCGCCATGATGCATAAACCCGCTGAAGAGGTGTCAAATGCCGTGTCTGAGTAACATGATGGCCACTTGCAGGCTATAACCAAACAACATTGTCAACTTAAGCGGTGCAATGCTGGGAACCAGGCGGTTTGGAACTGTGAGAAAAACGAGCACAATCCAATGTCCAGCATATCATTCGATCGACATTGTTGAATAAAAGCTTGGAAAACTTACGTGATTCGTCGGAAGATGCGTTCTATGCAATCCGCAGAACACAACGGTTCTTCGGATTGCCTTGAACATAAACGCTAGGCACAGGATGCTAGCCGGCACTCGCGCAAAGATTACGACCGCATGCGGGGCTGCGGATGCGGAACGCCATGCACTTGACTCCACGCAAGGCTTGAGCAAGACGCACAGTGTTTGCATGCATTTGTAGTATACATACACATATACATATACATATACATGTACATATACAAATACAAATACATATACATATACATATACATATACAGATACAGATACAGATACAGATACAGATACAGATACATATACATAGACATATACATATACATGTACATATACATATACATGTACATATACATGTACATATACATGTACATATACATATACATATACATATACATAGACATAGACATATACATATACATATACATATACATGTACATGTACATGTACATGTACATATACATATACATATACATATACATATGTGCATATACATATGTGCATATACATATGTGCATATACATATGTGCATATACATATGTGCATACACATATGCGCAAATATATATATATATATATATATATATATATATATATACTTGTTGCTTGTATATATATATATACAGATACAGATCTATATGGTCCGCCCTCAGACCCACGCATGCCTGCCGCCTGCCAGCAGCGTTTGATTCCACATATCATACGCCGAAAACGCCGGTAATACCGGTGCAATTGTGTCTATCTTCATGGACGTACAACCGTACTGTTATGCGTTGGGTTTGATTCTTCTAGACATCTAAGGCCGAATTGAGGCAGAAACACACCCACTTAGGAATTCGAAAAGTCGAAAGCACGGGAAAGGATTACAAGTTTGTTGCTGTGGTATTTGAAGCCCACGAGTTTCGTTTTCTACTAGGGTTTCAATGAACCATATTCACACTAAGACCTTCGAAACTTCGCACGTGGGCCTTCGGACATACAAGCAGGATGGTGGTGCCGTATGGGTGAAACCAAAAGGCAACTCCTGAAACAGTGAACGACAGAAATAGACGAGCCAAAGATTACTCGATGATGGGACAGCAGCATCGTTGAGTGGTACGGTTCATAATGAAAACACTGTGACTAGAAAGGACTACGCTTGAAGAGAGAGTTTGAGAGAGAGAAAGAGAGAGAGATCTTTGATACTGGGTACGCTGCGGGTATTACTATGGACAGTCTTACAAGAAATACCACAGTCGTGGATGCCATCGCTTGATGAACAAATTGTGATTATTCGTACTTTCACTGGTCTCACTTCTACTACTCTCTGTTTCGTTAGGGATTTCGCTGGCTCTCCCGACTACTCCTAGAACTCTGCCTAATATCCGCCTTGCTGGGTCCAGCAACCACTGCCAATGCATGCAACGCAATGTTACTTTGATCTTCTTGCTACAACCCCCTGCTGCTTATCATGAGGAACCAAGCCTAACATGTAAAGTACCACCGATGCTCTCATTAAATGATCTTGTCACATACTCTTTGATACTTGACTACTTGCAATACTCTCACTAGTGCCGATGCCTTTCTGATTCACAATCTTACCATGTTCCTCACAACTCTACCTGCCCTTCTGCCTCTGGCTTATCTTCTAGTCGGCAGCACATCACTCTTGAAGCTAATCAATCATTTTGCTCTTGCCACTGACTTTTACCGTGCTTCCTACTCTCACTTGTCCAATGGTTTTCCTCGCTTAAACATTCGCGAAAATTGAATGCGGGCTGTTGCTACCATCAGTACTGCATATCAACATTACCGCTGCACGTATGCATTACTATCACTGCTCAAGTTATAAAGCCCACTACACCTCGGCTAGTGCTAGTGCTCGTGCTAGCGCTGGTGCTAGTTCTGGTGCTACTGCTACCGCTCCTGCTACTGCTTCTGCTACTGCTACCGCTACTGCTCCTGATGCTCCTGCTACTACTGCTACTGCTGCTCCTACTACTGCTGCTACTGCGCCTACGACCAACTGACTAACGATCCAACCAACGAACCAACTGAGTACTAACGAACTGGCTAGCACGCTCGTGAAATGAAACCCTAGCTGCTAAGCTACGTAAATAAGCAACTGACGGGTATTACTCCTACACCCTAAACCTTAAACCCCAAACCCGAAACCGCCCTAAACCCTAAACCCTTCAGGCTTCGATTTTCGGAGTTTAGGCTCAGACCCTAAACCCTAGCAGACGCTTTGGGGTCTCCAATCTCCACTAGGGTTTAGGGTTTAGGGCTTAAGGGTATAGGGTTTAGGGTTTAAGTTATAGGGTTTAAGGTTTAGGGTTTAAGGGTTTAGGGCTTGAGGGTTTTAGGGTAAAAGGCTTTAGGGTTTAGGGTATGGGGTTTAGGGTTTAGGGGCTTTAGGGTTTAGGGTTTAAGGCACCCTGAGAGCCCGAGACCCCTCAATGAAGGAAGTTGCCTTAGTTTGTACGTGGGTGGTTGTCAAAATTAAGGTCCCCTTTTCGGGTACCCTAAATAATAGGTGCCGTATCATAATAGGGACCCCAAAACGAAGGGACCATAATTTTGACAACCACCCACTTGCAAGGCGCCTTGCACTCCCAAATTACGGGGCATTGGGCTCTCTACTACACCCGTGTTATCAAAGCCGCCGACTTGGAAGCAGTCATACATACAAACTTCTTGCTGCAACTGCCCTAGTCCCTAAACCGTAAAGACCCTACAACCTAAACAGCCTTTAAACCTTCAAACCGCGAAGCCTATACCCCAAACCCTGAAAGCCCTCAGAACCAAACCCTGAAGGGCTCAGCAAAACTGAGGCCTGCCAATGGTTATTCAGCATCTTCTTCTCAGCACTACAGTTACTTGAATCATCACACTTCCTGAATCAGCTCTGTTCACATCGTGGTATGTTCTTCATCTTGCTCTTGTCATCAGTGCGCGCTAAACCCTAAACCCTGAACCCATAACAGGCACCTTCGTCAATCCGAAGGGATCGAAAAAGCCGAGGGGGGCCTGCAAGCTTGATGTCTCACGTTGCGTACGGCTTTAACGGGGGTGTGGGGTAGGGCCTAGGGTTTAGGGTTTATGGGTCAAGGAAGTTTGGGTATAGGGGTCCCTGTTTTAGGGTAGGCGGTTTGGGTTGAAGTAGGCGGTTTAGGGCTAAATTCTTTTGCGCTTAAGGGCTGAGAGCACCACGGTTCAAGGTTTAGAGCTTCGTGCTTCGGGGTTACACCAAAACTGAAAGCTGAAGGGTCTGGGTTATAATTGGCTATACGTGCAGCTACCCTGCTAACAAAGTTCTCCCATCCTTCAAGCAGGGCTGGTACTGTATGGCATGCAGCTTGGATGGGGTCTGCGCGGATTGCCGTACACTTGTAGCACACAGCAAGCGCATATTTGTAGGAGCAGTGAATAGGTGATTGCAGTCCTGCGGCTGATGTTGTACTAGCATCACTAATGGGCGTCGTCATTGGATCTGTAGTCGCAGTACTAATAGTACTAGCAACAATGCGTGGGGATTTGATCCTGGTAATGTTCTCTGTCGCTCACCCCACAAAGAGCTGTATTGACTGTTGGCGTGGTTGCCTTCTACAAACTGGATCACCGTTACTTCCACTTCCACACACGCACTCCTATGCAGGCAGATCCAACGTTCGCCCGTTTTGCACACTCACGGCCGGCGGTGGATCGTCTGTGCACGGGATAGCTCTGTCTACTCGGAGAATCACAGAAGATTATAGCACTTTAGCTATGGGCAATGCTTTCTAGAGCTTGTGCTCATTCTTGAGCCAAACGTTGCATGGGCGGTCATACTGAAAGGATGGATAGGCATTGCGGTGTGCGTAGCACTACCACAAGCCTACTCCTAGAGACGAGGGACGCGTGGCGTGCCCCCTTCCCTTGCACTTTACACGGTCTTGCTCACAGCTCTTATAGTGACACCTTGGAACTTGACAAGGCATCGCAGTCCGTTCGCACCCCCCATGAGTTGCGTCTCCGACGCTGCTCACCCGGAAGATGGCACGATAGGAATATCAGAAAATTTGTTCCGCCGCAACTTTGACGTATAGATCAGAGCTTTTGCATCCCAATTAGAAACGTTGTGACACTCATTTACGTCGATAACGATCCCCTGAAATGGCAAACGAATCAGGCGTCACCGAAGAAAGGAGCATTCGCGATGGAATTCCACGTGCGAAGCACAGAGATCACAAGCTTGAAGATGAGGTAGATCAGGCGTTGTCTCGCCACCATCTTCGCGTTGACGTAGGATCGCGTTCCCAGGGCCGGAGGTTCTCCTCTGGATACTGGTTCCTCTGCTTTCCTTTGTCCTTGCCTTTGTTTCGGCCTTTGCCGGCGATGTAGTCGTGGTAGGAATTGGTGTTCCAGCCACCATGTTGCTCATCTCCGGTTCTCTCACGCCCTTTTGAAGGTCCCTTTGCCGAGGAAGCGCTTGCACGTTCCTCCGTAGTGACGGGCGTGTCCATGATGGAAGTACCACCCGGAGGGAGATACTCTTCGGCCGAAATGTGATGTAATGCTTCAGGACGTCGAGTATTCGGATTTTGCTGTCTTTCAACTCTAGACTTGACCAATCTGTCCATGAAGTGCGCTGGCATTTGCACGTTGTGGTCCACCAGCAATCCAACGGTCTGGACGGAAAAATCTGCATGAGTCAAGAGGATGCCGACCGGGTCGATGTACAGAAAGTCCACTGGTCCAGTTGGCGTGTTTCGTAGTACCGAAAATTGTTGATGTCCTGTCACCATCGGGATAACTTCACATAGGACGTTGAGGCAACAAAAGTGCATTGCCTTCACGTCTTCATCCTTGTTACTCTTCAAGTACGTGGTTGGATTGAAGTTATCTCTGCCGATTCCCATCATGTTGGCTCCCCGTGTCAATAGCGAAAGCATCTGGTTCGTCCGGAAGCGCTTCAAAGTGTAAGTCCCGTTGGGATCATACGACTTGAGGTTTTCAGGCTCCTTAGCAAAGCGAAGGATCTCCTCATCAGTCACGTCCCTGCTCACACCTGTTTCTTTATCCACTCCAGCCAAAGTTCCCCACTTTCCGAGCACATCATAGCGTTGGCCATGTGCGAAATTCTCTCTCATCTGAAACAACGGCATAGTCGCCCATTTCGCGAATCCTGACCAAGCTTTGTAGATGGTTCTGCATACAACGAATGCCATGTACGAAAGAGCAGCCATGTTGGCGTCGATGCAATGGGCGTTCCGTTTGCCGTGGTAGTAGGGCGGCTGCATGGCGGTGCGGGCGATCTGCAGTTCAGGGTCGATGTTCAAAGACTGACCGGCAATGAGGACGGGACGTCGTTCCTGTGCCACCGCATCTGGTACTTGGTCGTCAAAGTCCTCTCCTGGTTCCGTGTCCATTTCTTCATCAGGTTCCTGTTCTGGATCGTCATCACCAACGACGGATGGTTCTGGAATTCCTTCGGGTTCCGCAACCGATTCCGCTTCCATGGCTTCCTGTTCCTCGACGGTTGCCTCAGGTACTGCTGCTGCCGCAGCTTCCATCGTCTGAGCAATGAAGTCACTTGGGATCTCCGTTGGAGTATCCCGTTGTGGAGTACCTTGGTAGTATCCGCAAGAAACGAATTGTGACCAGCAGGATGTGCATCGAGAAAAGCATGCTGGAACAATGTTGTAGCACGCTGGGCATACCCTCATTCTCCTGCCGTCCTCATCTCTTCGTAGATCTTCGGGTCGCCAGTTCTTGATGACAAACTTGATGCCCTTGTCCATGTAGTGATGTCGAACCGTGTTCTCCCTGTGGGCCTCCAAAACAGTGGTAAGGTCTCGCATTATCTGCTCCTTGCTTGTGTCATGGGGTCCAGGAGGCATCTCGCAAAGCAATTCCATGATCTTGCTTGGCGTTCGATATCTCTCGAACTCAGGAAGCAATGGAGATCCATTGTAGTCCAACACCATCTCTTTCTCCAATCGTTCATCGTAGATCTTTTCCACTAGAGCGAAAGAATGTGTATCCTGAGGATTCGGGACGCAAAACCATACCTCCTTCACGAACTGGAACGATATCGTTCGACCAACGATGATGACACCGCTGTCAGTGATACGTCCACCTTCTCGGGCAAGGTCTGTCGAAGCAACATGGAGGACCACAAGTGGCATGTGCTTGGCTTGTGGCCCGTGTACCCGAGCTTTGGTCGTCGCGTTCCGGTTGTCGAACGGTGCGAACACCCCCCAGTAACTGTGGAGTCTGCCACCTCGGTTGTCCTGAAATCGACGTCGTTGGTCGAAGTCCCCGTCAGGATCCTCCGAACCAGGCATGACGCCCTGCAGAACGATAGAATCCAAGTTGCGGCATGCCGTAGCGTGGAACGCGCCCCCGAGACGTGTCAAGAGGGTCATAGATGGAGATATTGCGAACCGGTCCTTGTCCAACTGAAGCAAATTGTTCTGGGGATCGGAGTGCGTAGAGTGACCACTTGTGGCCCTGACAGCCCATGGCTTCACCCAGCCGTTGCAAACATTCAGGTACCTCTGATTGTGTCGGCAACGGTCGTTGTTCTGGATCTCTGTGATCTGATCTGGAACTGACACCAACATGTTCGAGTTCGCAGATCCAAGAGTCTCTGTGCCGGGGTTCTTCACTCTCACACCCAAGAACTGTAGCCGGATCTTGGCCTTGTGGCGTTTCGTTGCTGCAAGCATATTCCCCTGGAACAGTAACTGCAGTCTCTCATTGTACACTCTCTTCCTTTGGTACTCGTCGGTCCTTGATACCGCTTCGGTAATGCGTCTGCTTTCGTGGGTCCATAGTTGCTCATGCCTCACCAAGTCCTCTATCAGCACCCACCCTCCTTCATCACATCGAATAACGCTGTTGAATGCCACTTGGCACCTGTTGTCAAGCCATTCCGAACCTGGGCGCCTGGCAATTCTGTGGCGCAAGTCAGATTGAATGCATGATAGCGCCCACTCTGCGTTCCTCCTTCGATGATGGGTGATGTTGCGAAGGACAACTTCATTCACGATGTCCCATCGGTTGTTGATGAAGCTTGCACCCTTGGTCGGAATCAGGTCAAGAATTCCGCATCGGATTGGCCTCCCGCCGCCGATGGATTCGTAGCCTGAGTTTGCCCATTCCTGATTATTCTCATCATACTCGAAGCTTGGACGATCTCCTCGTTGAGGCAGTCGTCGGTCACGATGGTCCGAAAGCTGCTCAATGAGATCCACCACCCGCTGACTGTTCTCGGGTCCCATTTCCCGCAGCGGTACACCACAAGCGTCATGTAAGCCTCGACGGTTCTCCACTTCCGTGCATAGGTTGTGCTTGTTCTCGTAACGAATCAAGACCACATCACCCCGAACGGCTTCGCCTCCGCGTCGCGGTCGGGCTTTGGCCTTGGGTCGTCGGTCCGAGGAAGCAACACTCACATGGTCTGTGGTATCAACGTCCATTGGCTCAGCTTGTTGTGTAGGTGGTCGACGTGGATAACGAAGAAGGCTGTCCCTGATGACCTGAATGCTTCGAAGTATCAGATCTCGGGTTGCAGCATTTTCGGTGCAATCGGACAGATGATGTGATTCACTGCCACAAGCAATGCAGAACGTGAAGTTATTGCTCCCGACCGACATCTCGCCCTGAGCAAGTATTCCCACATAGTCCTGAAGCTGTGTGACGAGCACCTCACGAACTCTCTGCCTGGGATCGGGCTCTTCAGCACCCTGTTCTTCTTCAGGTTGCGCATCCACATCAACGTCCTGTGTCGGTATTGGTGGTGCAACTGAAACCCCTGGATCGCCCGTGACGTTGTCAGCGGCCTGTGTCTCGTCGTTCCTTGCAATTTCTACGGGGTAGACATCACCATCGACGATCACAGTGAAATCAATCACGAGGTCAGCGGACAAGTTGTTGACGATCTCAGCGACTTGTTCATTCTTCTTGGGTGGTGTCCTCTTGCGTGGGGAGTCAACCGTGATGAGCTCGATAGCCTCGGCCGACGCATAGCGGAAGAATGATCT